GCCGCGTGCATCCGCGCCCCCGACACCCGCTCGTAGAACTCAAACATCTGCAGGGGAACAGAGAACACCCCGATCCTGCTCAGCCCCACTGGCACCTGCACACCCCCAAACCCCACCCCCGGGATCCCAAATCCACCTTCTCCCTCTCCTCGAACATCCAGAAAAACGGGGTCATGGCCCCGATGTCCAGAGCGTGCGTGGTCACGGCCATGATGTGGTTGAGCAGCCGCGTGATCTCGGCGAAGAGAACTGGGGGGGAAAAAAAAGGGGGTGATCCCAAAAAATCCTGGGGATTCCTGGGAATTGGGAACAGGGGGGAGCCTCACCTCGGATCCACTGTGCTCGAGGAGGGGGACGGATGTTGAGGAGCTTCTCCACGGCCAGGGAGTAGGCCTGCTCGTTGCACATCATGGAGACGTAGTCCAGGCGGTCAAAATACGGGAGAGCCTGGGGAAAAATGGGAATGGAGGGCTGGGAATACTGGGAGCACTGGGAGGAGGTGGGGGAGCAGCCTGGAGGGACACACGGACACCCCAAATTGGGATCAGGGGCTGGAGGGACACACGGACACCCCGAATTGGGATCAGGGGCTGGAGGGACACACGGACACCCCAAGGTGGGATCAGAGGCTGGAGGGACACACGGACACCCCCGAGATGGGATCAGGGGCTGGAGGGACACACGGACACCCCAAATTGGGATCAGGGGCTGGAGGGACACACGGACATCCCCGAATTGGGATCAGGGGCTGGAGGGACACACGGACACCCCGAGTTAGGATCAGGGGCTGGAGGGACACACGGACACCCCAAATTGGGATCAGGGACTGGAGAAATGGGGGTCCTGGGGATGAGGGGGTCACAGGGAACCGGGAAGGACTGTCCAGGGGATGGAAATCCCATAGGAAATGGGGATCCTATGGGATTGGGGATCTTGGACTGTGTTTTCCATAAATCCTGGGATTTTTTGGGGCACCTGCAGGTATGTTTTGTACTCGAGTTTCTCAGTGCCACAGTGCAGCAGCCCCATGTGGGAAATGGGGAATCCTATGGGGCTGGGGATGTCCCTGGCCTGCATTTCCCAATTTCCCATAAATTCCAGGATTTTTTGGGGGCACCTGCAGGTAGGTTTTGTACTCGATGAGTTTCTCAGTGCTGCGGTGCAGCAGCCCCACGTGGGAAATGGGGAATCCTATGGGGCTGAGGGTGTCCCTGGCCTGCATTTCTCAATTTCCAATAAATTCCAGGATTTTTTGGGGTACCTGCAGGTAGGTTTTGTACTCGATGAGTTTCTCAGTGCCCCAAATGGGCAGCAGCCCCACATGGGGCTCCCATGGGAAATGGGATTGGGGATCATGGACCTGCATTTCCCAATTTCCCATAAATCCCAGGAATTTTTGGGGGCACCTGCAGGTAGGTTTTTTACTCGATGAGTTTCTCAGTGCCACAGTGCAGCAGCCCCACATGGGGATCACAGGGAAATGGGGAATCCTATGGGACTGGGGATGCCCCTGGCCTGCATTTCCCAATTTCCCATAAATCCTGTGAATTTTGGGGCACCTGCAGGTAGGTTTTGTACTCGATGAGTTTCTCGGATCCATGGTGCAGCAGCCCCAAATGGGGCTCCCATGGGAAATGGGATTGGGGATCATGGACTGTGTTTTCCATAAATTCTGTGAATTTTGGGGCGCCTGCAGGTAGGTTTTGTACTCAACAAGTTTCTCAGTGCCACAGTGCAGCAGCCCCACATGGGAAATGGAGGATCCTATGGGACTAGGGATGCCCTGGGCTGTATTTCCCATAAATCCCAGGAATTTTGGGGGCAACTGCAGGTAGGTTTTGTACTCAACAAGTTTCTCAGTGCCACAGTGCAGCAGCCCCACGTGGGGGTCGCAGGGAAATGGGGGATCCTATAGGATTGGGGGTGTCCCTGGCCTGCATTTCCCAATTTCCCATAAATTCTGGGAATTTTGGGGGCACCTGCAGGTAGGTTTTGTACTCGATGAGGTTCTCAGTGCCGCGGTGCACCAGCCCCACATGGGAAATGGGGAATCCTATGGGACTGGGGATGTCCCTGGCCTGCATTTCCCAATTTCCCATAAATTCCAGGATTTTTTGGGGGCACCTGCAGGTAGGTTTTGTACTCAATGAGTTTCTCAGTGCCCCAAATGGGCAGCAGCCCCAAATGGGGGTTCCATGGAAATGGGGAATCCTATGGGGCTGGGGATGTCCCTGGCCTGCATTTCCCAATTTCCCATAAATTCCAGGATTTTTTGGGG